TATATATATTTGAATCTAAATTTTCACAGTGGTTCAAATGAGAGTTTATGCCCAGGGCTGCTGTGAACACAGGTGGTGCCTACCTTCAGGAGACCTGGTTAAGACAGCATGAGCCAGCTTTTCTCCAGGAAGCCTTATAAGACTGAGTTCTCATCCCTCTATCTCACTACAGTTATTTGTATTCCTTTCATTAGAGCAAAGCCAGCTTTTAGGTGAGCCCTCTCGTCCCAGCGATGCTTATACAATCCACAGGACAGGTATAGCTACAGAGATACAGTGGTAGTAGAAATAGTCCTGACCCCATGGGATTTATGGTTGGGAATGGGATTAAACACAGTCCTGTTCAGTTGTAGTCACAGTACATTAGTCATGAAAGTACAGAGATCTATACAGAGATCACAGTGAGCTTGCTGTAGAGTAAGGGCCACTCTGCAGAAGTAACTTGCAGGCTGGGACCTGTTGGATGAGTAGAGGCTTGTCCGGCTAAGGCAGGAGAATACCACAGGCAGACGCAGCAGCAGGTACTGAGGCCCTGGTGTGGAAATGACCAGGGCACTAAAGGAAGTAGAAGAAGCCCAGTGATGGAGTGCTGAGGGTATACCTGGCAGGGCAGGTACAAGCTGGGCGCGCCTGGATCACCTGGATGGGGTAAGCGCTCAATGGATGAAGACTTGTGGGCAGAGGGTTAGATTATAATAATGTTCTGCATAGGCTCCGCTCTAACACATCCAGAGCCTCATCTCCCTTCTCCTGGTGACTGCCAAATTTACATTTCTTATGCCAGCTCGCTGCTGAGCTCCCGACCCCCTTGTCCAGTTGCCCAAAGGAATGCTTGCTCAGGCAAGAGGAAGTGGAAGGTGAATGGGCAAAAATGGCCCTTCCAGCTCTGGGATTACCTGGCTTTTGGAGTTCAAGGAAGGAAAGGTCACTCCGGAGGAGGAGGTAGAGTAAGGCTCTCTCCGGGGCGTCGGCTCTCTGAGTCAAGTGCGTTCCTTTTCCAACAGCCTTACTTTCCTCCCTGTGGACTTTCTGCCTAGGGACCAGGCTGAGGGTGCAGATCGCTGGTACCATTCCCTAGAGCTCTCTTCTGCTCCAGGGACCCTCCGAGAGTCACACATACTTCAGTATCCTGTTTAGATCACACAAGTCAGTTGAACTCATTCAGAGGCAGTGAAACTGGCCTGCGGTCAGATCACCATGATTGGACCAATGGCTGCAAAGTCCACGTCCTGTGACCGCCTAGAGTCCCATGGGGATCTGGCCCCTGGAGAACCTCAGGCCTCCTGCTTTTCCGTGTCCTCACTGTCTTGGCTCCAGCCACAATGGACTTCTTGTATTCTTCACCTTCATCATTCTATCCTCTGTGACTTCTCCTATTTTACCACTACGGGCCTCACCACCCGGAGTCCCTTCCCTAAACGATCAGCGCTTACTGTGTTGTATAATAATCATCTGTGTGTTTCTTCCCGCTCCTTATTCTTCACGTCATATTAATCTCCATGTCTGTAGCATCTGGCAGAAGTTTTCAATTGTGTTTATTTAATGGATCTATGAAACAATGGCCAAACACCCAGGGATCTGGGTGACCCGACCAAACGTATAATCACATCCACACATGAGGGTCCCAGACTGGCCTAAGTTGTTCCTTTGTCCCCCGCCACCCTGGCACTCTGCCCCATTCCAGGTGATGACCTGTTCTCCTGGCTCCTTCCCATAGGAGACTGGGAACTTCCTTGATGTCAGAAACCATGTCCTTCCTCTCTGTATTTCAGCCCCTGGCACAAGGCTCACACTGAGCCAGAACTGAGGACTTGGTTGAATGCGTTAAAAAAGGAAAGAAAGACCAAAGGAAAGAGCCAGCTGGCTCCTTCTTCACTATTCCCTAGAGCTTGTGTTTGGCGTCCCCATTTGTACAAGACGTAACTGCATAAAATGACCCAGAGCTTTCTCCTGAGTTTGACACAGGCAAACTAATGTCTCTTCGACCAACACAGTGACCAAGGAGATGAGTAAAGTGCTCAGTCCCCCCGCACAGTGGTCGAAAGTCTTGCACCATTCGAGTGCAGTTTGGGGACACGAAGCCTAGTTCCAGTTTCGCCATGCAGGAGCTGGGTCATCTTGGGCAATCTAATCTGCCTGGTTACTCATTTCCTCTTTGTCAAATGACTTGGAGTAGGTGAACTTTAGAACTGCTTGTAGTTCTGAAATTCTGTTGAGTCACAGGGTAGGTAACATTTCTAGAATTTGAAACATCGCAAGTAGGAAGATCAGTCCTCAAGTAAAAAGAGAGCTCAGGAATTCTCTGCTGTAACAGCCAGAAAGAACACACCACCCTGAGCTTACAGAATAGTTTGCTAGCCAGAGCTCTGGGGAAGCATCAGCCTTCCTTGGAATTGCTAAACCCAGAGCCCCAAAGTCAGAGCTGATTTTTGCCGCTCGATTCTTGGTCTGGTGCCATTCCTCCTACCCAGGTACAGGGGAGTTTAAGCGTGAAGCTGTCACACAGGCTTTGCTTTCGGATGTCTCCGGGCTCTTTCTCACCGCTCTCTTTTAATTTCGCATCAAAAATGTCATCAAAAATGACAGGTAGTGCTCCCTTTGGCAGCACATATGCAAAAACAGGTATTTTCGCATTCCAGATATAAAGTTATAATATTAAATATACTCATTCAGACTACACAGTCTACCCACTGCCCCACAGTCCTGCCTTTCTGCAGAGAGTCTTTGTGTGGCCGTGGGAATCGCACCCTCACCCCTAGTTGAGAATTACCAGCCCACAGTATCCTAGGAAAGCTTATTTGACAATGTGGGGAAGCCAGGTCCTCTACTGTGTGTCTGTGTTTCATAATCATTAGTAGCAGCAACATCTCCTTAATCAAGTAAATACCTGTTCAGCAGCTGTCATGTAAAACTGTGTGGTGTAGTTCCTGTCCACAAAGACTGTAGTGCAGATTGTTCAAACTATCGCCGTGTTGTTCCATTACCAGAGAGTAAAATCAATATAGGCCGGCTTTTCTTCTTTTAGTGCAATAGAATAAAATTCACTGAGGCAGAGTGGAAGTAAACAGGAAAGAGGAAGAAGTAAACAAGATCATAATGCAGCCCATCCCTAAAGACAGACTTTGTTTCAACCATGGATATGTTCATGATAAGGCATCAGGGAGAAATTGTGATGCCTTATCATGGATCCAGCTGTAGGTTGTGGGTTTTTTTCTTAAAGTTTGAAAGCACTGTCTTACTGAATGTCCAGGAGAATCAAATTGGATTCTAGGGAACGCCGCAGGGCGAGGAGAACAGGTAGGGTGCTGGGGGAGAGCTGCATGAGTGGCCAGGAGTCTAAACACCAGGGGAAGGGGCATGATCGTGGGACACAGACTCCGTGCAGAGTGTGTAGGAGAGGAAGAGTCTGTGTGGGAAAAGACCCTGGACTGAGCAGTGAGAGCTTGGGAGGCTGTGAGGTGTGAGTTAAGCGTTAGGGAGAAGAGTAACTGGATCAAGTGATCTTTCTATGTTTAGTTTCTTGAGGAATCTCCATACTGATTTCCATAACAGTTATACTAGTTTATATTCCCACCAGGGATACAGGAAGGTTCACTGTTGGGCATATTCCAAAAGAATTAAGGACTCCATACTATAACAATAGCTGCATGCCCATTAGCAGTACCATGCATAATCGATAAGCTATAGAAACAGCCTAGATGCCAGTCAGCAAATGAATGGATAAGGAAAACATGACAGTGGAAATGCAAAGGAACATTACTCACCCATAAAGAAGAATGAAATCAGGTTGTTTGCAGGAGAATAGATGGAACTAGGAAACTTGCTATGTATAATTAGCTAGATTCAAAAACTTTAAAATTGCATGTTTTTTTCCTTGTATGAGAAATCTAAAGATATATAAATTAATAAACAAGTAAATAAAGGAAAAATGACAGGATATCAGGAGGTAGTCTTTTGGAGACAGGGAAGGAGGAGAAAGGGGAGGGATTGTAACAGTATTGATGATCAAGATTCAATGCATGTGCCAATTTCCAAAAATAAATGGCATTCTGTAATTTTTTTTTTTTTTTTTT